TTTCATTTCTCACGCCCAAACGGTGCGAGATTTAAAAATAAATCATTGCGAAATATACGAATTACGGTTGACAGATTGCCGAAGTTAACTGAAGACAAATTTTCAGGTTCAAGTAATGCAATTGGGTCAACAATTCCTGTTGAATCAACCAAGGCCGAAAATAAATCACAAACAACCCGTATAACCTTTGTATAATACAATGAGATTCTGACTACCAAAGACTGAAAGGGAACAGAAAGGTGTACAGCAAAGTATCTAGTCATTTAATAGAAGTTTATTTCTTACGCCAAAAGTATTGCACGCGTAACGGAACGAACAAAATGTGCAACAGAACAATTTAAACGAAGTGGCGTAAAGATACATGAGAAAAAAAAAAGTATTTTCTTAAAATTAAAATTAAATATGTTCACATTATAAGAAACATTAACAACTTACAATTTTCTTAAGCGTGAAAGATTATTGTTATTTAAAAAGTCTACAGTGAACGTGTTACGTAAAATCTGTAGGACTGCGCTGTTATATATTTTGTCGGAATACTAAACCAACATCATTAATATTTTTATTCAAGCATATTTTGTTTGTTTGATTTTTTAGTTTTAATTAATTATTTTTAAAAAAATTCTATCTAATCTTTTTTACGATATTATAATATGCTATTTTTAATTAGGTACCTACTTTTGATTATTTATAACGATAATCACGAATAATATTGCATATTGCATGTTATTATCATTCGTTGTAGGTGTAATTTAAATGAAGTACAGTTGACAATGTTAAAATAACGATTGTTTAGTTTCAGTAGGTAGGTGCCTGCCTATACATCATTGATGTCTATAATAACAATAACACAATATTAATTTTTATGTAATGAAAATAGATAAATCAAACGTTTAATCTAATCCTCATGTTATATAATAAAATATATCATAATATACGTAACATTATATACCATATAGGTAATAAATCTTTATCTCTCATTGTGTTAAGGTTTCTAATACCAAATTAACAGCGTACGTCTTATTTCTATCTAATGTTAATCATTATTTAATTTCTCAATGATTTTAACAAATGAAAATTTATAATTTTCATTTCGCTCACGAGACGCAGACACGCAGTTTAGATAATATAATAGTATAATACCCAAGTATTCAAATCCGTTCAACTGAAATATTATTTTAATAATTTATGGGTAATAAGTGCAGATATTGTGTTTGGTTACATCTAATTTAAAAGTAATAATGGACATCATCTTAAAACTATTATAATCCGTAATTTGCTTTGTTTGTTTTGTTAAAAGGGTATCTAAATAACAAGTTAATGCCGTACAATAATATAAGCTCTGCCGCTATGGCCTGCAATAATCTAATCGTTATTATTTTGTTGAGATATATTATACAACACTCGTGAACAACGACTAAACCGTTGTTCGTGTAATGAGTAATTCGAAAAATTACTCACCGTTTTTACATTTAAATTTAGTCGTCGGCGTTACGTTTTTAAGACAAACATATCATTAGACATTAATTATTTATTTAACTTTAGAATTGTATTATAGTCTAGTCTCATTATTACGTAAATTGTAACTAGTGTAAAAGTATTAAAATGCGTTTACATACACGATTTAGGTACTTTCATTAATGGTCAAGCGGTGTACCTCGACCAATTTACGAATGCAAATGACAAATATTATTTTACCTTAATATTTTGTATTGTCATTAAAAATGCATTGAAAAAAAATGGAATTATACAATATATGGTAGGTATACTTATAATGTCAACAAATCGACTGTATTCTGAACAACAAAATTGCTCAACGCCCAAACCACTCAATTGTTATTAAAATTTAAGCGCGAAAACTTACAGGTGACTTGATAAGTTTACAATATTCGTATTGTTATAAAAGTTATGTAATGTAATGTGGCGTGGTATAGGCGTAATACCATAATAATATTATCATGTCGAGCTTTTAAGATATATTACCACCTATTAAATTACGATTAATTGTATTTTTTATTTTATAATAGTTTTCCTGTGATAATATATTATTATTATTATTATTATTATTATTATTATTATTATAGGGGTAATATCTATGAAACATAATGAATACGGAGACGAAGTGGAGGTAAGAAATGCTGTTAAAACGTTTTAAAATCGGGGAATACTAAATATTGTCGAACTTAGGTATGCGCCTATATAGAATACATAGAATAAAAAGCACGCGTCTATAACGACATATTTCAGATGTTATTACCTATACTTAGTGCGGATAATTGTCGATAATATACGTAATATTTCGTAACCGATAAATATTGTTATGTAGATCGGCGTCCGGATGAGGTACGACCAGTCATAATATTTAGTCGTGAAAAGACCCGCGGGGCAGTGGTGCCGCAATCGCAACTATTATGATAATATTATAGACTCAATATTCATAATTACTGGCCCGTGCGTCATAATTCAATTTGGCCTTTTCCCGTGTTATTTTCCGTCCAACGGGTCATAAATCGGCGTGGGACATTTGTAATATTTTTTTCGATCGATGGTTCTACCATAATTTTGCACGTGCATAATAACTATACAACACAAGACGGCGTTGTATCTCTGGTACACCTACGTTGTATACAATCGCACCAGTGACAGATTTTGAATATTTAAGACAAGACACCTAAAGAATTATACCGAGTACAGTTATTATTTATTTATATCGAAATAAAATTATAATATTATATTATACTGTTTTACCTTATCGATGACCTGCGGTAGTAATACACACGGAACAGTCGATGAAACGAGACTATATACTTCGGCGCACGTATGTGTGCAGCAGGTAGAAGAATAAATATAAATTATTATCATACATTTACAGATTTAGCCAAGTAATCAAAAATATACATCTATGCCTATATGTCATGGCGTGGGACTCCGCAACATTACAAAACGAAAATGCGTAAGGTGACACACGTGTCTGCAGGGATTACATAAAAATGAATGTTTCTTTGTTTGTTTGTCCTCGATAGACTCAAAAACTACTGGACCAATTTCAATAAAAGTTATATCAATAGGTTCCTATTGAGACTCGGAGGGGTCTTATTGCTTATTGTTTCAACCCCTATATTGGGCACTATAGGGTGGCTCACACGTGGGTTTAGTTTTGGATCACCCAAACAAATATTTTTTTGTTTTAATTAAATGGTTGCTATTGATGACAGCTTTCAGATTATATGACTATTAAAATAAATCAGTAGACATGTATGACGTATAAAAATGTTTACGAAAATAGGTAGGTATACATAAAAAAAGAAGAAACCTCAAAATAGTAATCATTGTAACTGTGTTATGTACACTGTTACAATGATTACTTTTATGATTTGATGTCTTAATTCTGGACAATTTTTTTTTCATGTAAACACATAAGGATAAATCTTAACAGTACCTATTGGATTTATGTTGGCTTTAAGCATTCGTTGAATCTATCTCCAGTTGTTTGTGTCAAAATATAAAAAAAAATATTTCGAAGCGATATTATATTTTTAACTTGCGCTGCCACGGACGTAGTCTGGCCGAATGATATTTCTATAATAAAAATATTATAATATTGGCGTCTGCGGCAGACGAGTTCGGTCGAGAGCATAATAATATCAACCTGCTGCAGGGACTCGGTGCGACGTGTACATAACATTTTTGTAATTTGTTGTGGTGCCGTCAAACAATGCGTATAAGAGGTACACTATACCTATGTGTAAGATTAAAACGACAAAAACAATGTAACGCATTGACGCGGACAAAGGACTGCGAGCAACAATAAATCGACGTTAAATGAACTTTACAGCGCGGTGTGCGAACCCGTTACCAGGTCTAAACGCCATCCCGGGGGCAATCGATATTATGCACCTATAACATACTGCTTGTACGATATTATTATAATATTATAGTCATCAGGTATGTTAGTATGTACCCAGCAAAGTACAATAAAAATAATAATCAAAGGTGCGGTGAATAATAAGCGACGATGCAATGTTACATTGTAATACTATTACTGTAGGTATACATAATATTATAATATTACTGTGTTCCCCAGATCGGGTGAAGATCTTGGGAAATATTAATCGGAGGACTTAACGCTTAAATATTCGAAAATATACTAACAATTTACCTAATAATATTAGTATCAAAAATAACAGTTCTTAATGGTTGCGATGCAGTTTATATTTCTAACGGTTATCACTGTGCAGTGTACCTATATAATCTTATAGGTACCTAAAATTATACAGTTTTTGCGATTATTTACAAATTGCAAAGCACTAAGCCACTATTCCATATCTTACATAAATATACGGGCACATTGCCTAAAAACCCAAGTCGTCATTGGTGGTAAGCAAACCTTTTTTTTTGGCTGAAACGTCTTTTGGTGGAAAATCGTATCGTTCTGGCTTTTGGCGGAAAAATACTGTACCGGAAACGGTAAATATTATTTCTTTGGAAACAAGTACCACATACGAGCCGGTTGGGTACGGCGCAGCATTCCTAGAGTTTCAGGTTTGTGTGTCGCGGAGAGATTATACTATATCTTGATCTAATTGGCAATGGATATATAACATTATACGTACCTACCTACCGGTTTCGGTCGGACAATATACCAATTAATCCGTAAGATATCGCATTGCAAACGTTGGACATTATATCTACATAATATCGAGCAGGTATCTACGTTTAATGTATCTAATGTCCGTGTTGCGCAAACAACTTAGGACACGTCTTGCGACTGTTACGCGACGCGGAGGAGGTGCTCTAGCTGCAGGATGTGGCACCGGAGAGATCTGCGAGATCTGCAGGATGAGATTCGGCAGGAGTAGGACCCGTGTACACGATAAACGACTTACCCACGATGACGGTGACGATGACGACGATGTTGCGGTTGTGATGTCTGCGGTATGAGTGCGAGAGCGGAGGTTTCGGCCCCGAGACTACGCGGCGGCGGGGGAAAGTTATAAAACCCACTCGGCACCCGCTCGGACGGCCAGTGTCAGAATAAGACGATCGTTTAAGGACCATTCGCGGACCTCTCGCCGCAGTGCCTTCCACAGTGCTGCAACGCGCGTATTGATTTGCTGCGCAGTTGATTATTATTATTATTTTTGATTTTTCGACACAGTTTAAAAGACAAAAATAATTTTACCCGAAGCGAATAGGTATATTATCATTTCGACGACCTGCACGGTGCCGCCGACACGATGAAGTACACGACATACCTCTTGGTGAGTAAACTCGTCTCATATAATATTATAATGGCATACGCGTGTTCCATCCCATCAACTGAAAATTCATTTTCCCGACCGCGTTTCGATATCGTACAATAGCTAATAATATTTTAATATTACTGGTTACTGTTTTCGAGTTAGGTTGACACGCAGAGTGTGATACTACCTATGTTTAAAATTTTTTTTTTTTATAATCACTATTATTATTTTAATTTTTGCATCGGTCGAATTCTACAATACAATATTTAGGCTCAAGTCTTTGTGAATTATAAAATAATGTTTCCGAACACGTCTGTGTTGAACATTAGTACCTATTTTAATTTTGCATTAAATCATATATTATACTTATTAGATGCCATTTACCAACAACTTTTCTGCACAGACATGCATGACGACGAACTATATATCTGTTTACGACTTCTTTCGTGTGGCTTAATTTTCTCCATAGGTCATACTTTCAGTGTAATGCGTTTTTTTTTTTGCTACTCTATTCTCGTGCGATTTTATCGTATCCAGTTTATTTAACTTGTCACTCGGTATGTGCGTTATTGCGGTTGTAGTCATATGGGTGATAAGAACTTGTACGGTATAGGCTGAAAGAGACATAAAGTAATACGGCAATAATACAAATAATACAAATAGTATATAATATCGCATCGGAGATTACGTACGACGGCACGACGATGAAAACAAATGGTTTTGTTTTCGATTCGAAGCAAAAGATCGATACAACTGGTATTGGCTACCTATCTGTACACTATATGCCTTAGACGTCATAATATTTTCTCATACGGACATGTAAGACCTTGATACATCATCATCCACGTGCATCGCGTTAAGTTTGGATTGGCCAGTGAGGTTGTCAATTAGGTGCATATTATCTGACCAGATATAGTTACTCAGCATGTTCCTTTCATGTCGTTTATTTTCTAAGCAAAGAATAGTAATAATAATAATAATAATACCATCGTTACGAACCTTGAGCGACGAAAACGAAAATCTATTTATTTTTATTATTTTTCCCAACCGCGAAGACATGTACAAGTACGCGCTTTATTACATACACGAATCGTACGTTTTATTATTATTATTAATTTTTTTTTTTCGAGTACCCGTCGACAGTTCATTTTAAATTGTTCGGTGGTCATTGCGCAATCGCCGCCCCACACGCTCGAAGGTGCAATAGTAATATTATAACATTATTATAATACGAATAGTAGTACGTGTAACTATAATAATGTATAAGTACATCGTCCAATAGTATAATAATATGTAGGTATATGTAATAAGTATTTCTATTTTTCGAAATAATATAATATTATAACGTCCGACCACTGAAATATTATTATTATTATCATTCAATTCTACTCGTAAATATCGGAGATTACTATTACTATTATCTACTCGTAGATTTCAGAATAGTCACGCGCCTGCAGTGTGCAGTTATGGGTATATCGCCTCTACCCATAAATAAATTATTGAATAATGTATAACACAATTATTTTTTCGAAAATCGAATTAACATAATACCCGAACGTTTAATTGTCGACGGACCGGAACACAATAATAAGCACAGTGTACAAAGTGTGTGCAACTTTCACTAATCGTTATCTAGGCTTATATTACGTTTTTTTTTTTCATTTTATGTTTGCTACTATCTACGTTCGTCATCGTGCACACACAACAGTAGACACAATATAGAGTTATACAACAACATCGATAATAATAATAACAATAACGGTAATGGTAATACGATAACAATAATTATTACATTACAAAACAACGGTCCGTAACGTTTCTGGGGCTACTCGGACGAGCGGTCGGCGGAAACGACTTTGTGCTAATCCGTTTTTTACATACATTAGCGATGCGTGATGTGTTTTTTTACCTGTAAAATTGTACTATATTGTAGGTACATTTTTCCGACTTTTTTTGTACCACTCTAAATAGTTACGATGTCCCTTTTAAATTAATGTTGTAATCGATTATGATTCGTAGCATCCAAAAACGAACCATACCTCGTTCCAAAATCGCTTAATGTTCAACCGGTCGTTAGGTACCAAAACTAATTATTACTATTTAATTGTATTATTCCACACCACTGTAATATTACTAATTGTTATTTGCGATTAAGATTTATTTCCAATAATATATTATTATAATAAACCGGCGAGAAAATGGTATGTCGAGTAGTTATCTCGAGCCAGTGGTCACACCTATTCCACCTCATTTTTTACGAATACACAGCGATTTCTTTCCACGCAAATCCTTCACATCTAATACAATAATATATTATTACAATATACCGTAGGTATACGAGCGAGGGATTTTCGTAAAACCGATTTCGTCATAATACAGTCCGTTTTCTGATCGTTTGACCCGTGGCCCTCGGCGTATTTCTCAAAATGCACAAGTCTGACACCTATATACACATTATAATAGATCGTGACATCTATACCATATATACGGCGTCCTTGACGTTTTGCGTACTCGGGTCACACGCAGTTCACCGTGGGAATAATGTTCTCGTGGTTCTAACCACCGTGGGTTTTCCGACACAATATATATAATGTGATATTGTGTTATTACACGCGTTTTATATATATGTGCCGTGATTTATAGCCTGCGAGTGTTATTATTATTATTACTATTGCAAGTAGGTTTTTTGTTTTCATCCTCTCGGGACGTTACAACACGTCTGTAATAATAATATCATTATTGCGGCGATCTGCAGTGGTCCTCACACCTGGGATGGTCGTGGACGTGGAAAGACTTGTAAGTCACCACCGCGGCTAATTTAAAAAAAAAAGTAAATTAAAATCACCAGGTCGAATCTGCTAATATGTGGTAACTGATAAGTTATCATCATACAAGACATTATGGTGAAGTTTTTGGTGTTTAAGTCATTTCGATCGTATTTTTGTGTATACGGGGAAATACGGTTGCATATTATTGACATTTAGAAAAATATATTGCCCACCAAAGAAGGTTTGGGGGGGGGGGGCGAGATTGGGAGTTGAAGCTCGGAAATATTTACAGGTATGAAAAAATTCGTCATAAATATTTTGTAAACATGCCTTTGTCTTCTCACCCCTTGGCAACCATCTAACTTAACACGGAAACTTTGAAATTCCAAAAATTCCTGCACTACAAACAATTTAATCACTATCTCTCTGGGAATTCAGCTCAAACGTAGATAAATGAGAACCCATAGACGTCATCTTAGTGAATATAATATAATAAGCTCATTGTTTCCGAAGAAATCAAAAACATTAAAAAAAGACGTCCCTTCTTGCTTATCTCATACCTATATCATCACAATAATAATATGCTTTATTACTATTGTCGTATCGGTTTCAAGCCGATTTTAAGAAATTCTGTTTTTAAAATAAAAAAGTAGTTTTGTGTTAACAACGTCCTTCTATGGTGTTCACAGGTCGCGTTATTATTGGTAACGCTGTGGTCAACAGATGTGGACAGCAGACGAGTGAACGTGAAGCCAGCGGCTACCGATGACGGTGAACAAGACGACGCGCAACAAGCCGCTGCCGAAGATGAGCAGCAACAGTTCAAGCCGGTGTTGATCGCGCGCAGGCCGTTGCAACACAGGCCGCCGGTGGACGTCGAAAGCGAACGACAACCGGTGGTTGTGGTTCGACAATCTCCCAGGGTGTTGCAACAGCGAGCCCGAGAACAGCAACAAGAAGCTGCCGCCGACGAAGAAGACGAACAGCCGCAAGTTATCATCAGACAACAGCCGACGAAAGCGGGTCCCAGGTCCCAATCGCCGCAGGCTCAGCAGCTCGTCCAGCAGCGACTCAAGCAACAGGAACAGCCGCAGCAACAGAAAGAGCCGACCGCGCAGACCATTCGAAACTTCAACAAGCTCAACGACGACGGTTCGTTCACCTTCGGTTACGAGGCTGACGACGGTAGCTTCAAAGAGGAGACCAGGGGCACAGACTGCGTGGTCAGGGGCAAGTACGGTTACGTAGACCCGGACGGTAACAAACGAGAGTTCACGTACGTGCAAGGCAACCCGTGCGACCCGAACGCTGTCTCGGCCGAGGAAGATGACGACCAACCGGGCAAGCCAGGCGAAGAGGAGAACATCCCGGCCAACATTCCGGCGAACGCTGGTAGGCCCAAGCCCAAGAAGAACCGCCCGACCACCACACTGTTCCAACAGACGTTCGGCGATTTCGAACCACAGCCGCAGTCGCAGCCGTCCACGACGCCGCGCATGCCGGGCAGACAGCAGCTGCAGCCGACGTTCCAAGAAAGCCCCAGGAGACCACCCCCGCAGATATTGTCACCGACCACGGCCGCTCCGGCACCACAATTCCCACCGGCCGCCGGAAACTTAGAGTCGGCCATCCGAAACTTGCCACAACCATCATCGCCGTCGGGCAAGGTGCAGCTCCAGTCACCCGCCGGGCCCAACTCTCCGCTGTACACCACCGAACTGGTTTTCGACCCGGCCACCGGTCAGTACAACACGGTCATATTCCAACAGGTGCCCAAACAGCAGGCCGGCATCAACATCAACCAACGTCTGCCCCTGCAGGGAGCAACGGCACCGGCTAGACAACAGCCCCTGCCCCAGCAGCAGTTCCGACCCCAGGCCCAGCCGCAATTCCAACCACCGCAGTTCCAACAACCACAACCGCAATTCCGACCAGCGGTCCAACCGTTCCAGTCACCGTTCCAGCAGCAGAGACCGGCTGAGTTCGACTTCCAGAGGCCTTCCGCCGGATTCCCTGGAGCTCCGGGCCCACAACAGCAATTGGTGCAGCAACAACAGGCCATGGCGTTCCAACAGTCGCAAAACCTGTTCAGACAACAGCAACAGAAACAACAACAGCAACAGCAACAGCAAGCGTTCCAACCGCAGTCGTCCCCTCAGTTCTTCCCGCCGCCGTCGCAGCGTTTCGAACCGGCGTCGCAGTTCGCGCCTAAGCAGCCGCAGCGGTTCGAACAGCAACCGGAAGCGCACCAGCAGCAGTTCGTGCTCGTCCAGCCCGGCCGGACGCCCGGACAACAGAGCTTGGCCGCCGGCCAGATCGACGCGTTTCTAAGAGGCCATAACGTGCAGTTCTAAACGGAATAATTCAATAATATTTCCATTTGTAAATAACATTATATTATAGACACTGCGTACAGCAATCCATACTATGAATTTTCGCTGTACGTCATTCATATAGGTACGATAACTATATATATTATTTTATTATATTTTAACGTAATATTAATGGTAAAAATAATATTATTTTCGTGTAAACTTAATTAATAATGTGCAACGCGTTATAAAAGTATTATATACATATAAATATAATTTTTTCTATGAATTTCGTGCGTAGGAACTATATAAATATATAAGTATATATATTCACACCCGTTTGGCCAAGCGGTTTCACCTGGCGGAGGTGAAAGCCATATATAACTTGCTGTATATTTTAGCACTTTGCTAAATGCTAGTTTTTTATTATTTTTTTTTTTTTTGTGACATTAAATCCTCGTAAGATATAATAATAATATTATTAAATATATTTGATGTTCCAAAAACAAAATGTGCTCAAAATATACCTACTCCCAATGTTTGTAAATAAATAAACTTTTATACTACCTATATTATGTATTATGTATTATGTATTATTATACATAATTAAATTTTAATAATAAATATAAGTTGTCTGAGAAAAAACGACAGTTTGTTTTCACTTTCCGTTCTTATTACATATATTTACTATATATTATTATGCACAAATATATGTATCACTTTCCTGTATATATGTGTATTACTTCCGCACCAAATCCGGTTTGCTCCATATCATGATGTAACCGACTCGGTTTCTTCGCGTCTTTAATTGTTGATATCTGACCCAAATGGCAGCTGCATTCCATGAGACATACCATAACAGACGAAAATGTGTTCGGACACAACTGCAGGCGTGGTGGCCGTAGGTCGCAATTACTTATTACAACAATGCCCATCGGGCAACCCATAAAAACATGTGATTATTATAACATTATTATGACACAATCCGTAGGTTCCTGCAAGGTAGAAACACTTGACAAGTTTGATTTTTTACTTTTTTCTATATTTTTTTTTTTACCGATCAATAATACCCGGCCGTACGGTGCCTCCTAAACAGAGCAAAGATGTCATGATTATAGAATAAATAATAATAATATTATGACGGCTTGTGATCGTGTGAAGGTTAAAGAAAAAAATAACACACCTAACACATTATGACAGTCATGAATATGGCTATCAATTTATAGAATATAATAATATTATTATTATATACCATACGCCTACCATATATGTAGGTAAAACGTTCGAGTGCTGCTGAACGGAGTTACTCAGCCGGAGCAATAAAATAACAATGAAAGCAAAAGCTATTAGAATAAGAGTATGTACTGACACGCTTTGCTTCTTGGATATAATGAAATGGCCGTCACCGTGAATATGATGGCGAACGTGGGCTGCAATATTAAATATAAAAATAAATCCATTATTAGAGCTGATACTGCACCAATTGATTTATATTTTTATTACACGTTGGTAAGAGAGATTTCGAGTGGGCGAATAGAAATATGATTTTAAATTAAAAACTTTTGAACAATATTAATTTATTTATGAATTTCCAATACGCCATATAATGATCAAAGAATAATTATTGTTTGAATGCTATTATTACGTACAATTGTTTACACAATTTTATTTTAACCTTAAATGCTTGAGAAAATCACAATTTATATTAAAAGTATTCTCTAACTATAGGTAATCATTGAATGCAAATAAATAATAGTCGTAAAAATATATTTAATGTATATTTTCATCAGATATAATGATATGATCGCTGATAAGCCCGCGATAACAATAAAATATGAAAGAAATTGATATAGAGATCTTTGAAAATTAAAATATTATTCAATCCAATAGTTATACGCAGTTATCACCTAATATTTTAAATTTAAAATACTTAATATTAATGTTCTCATTTGTTTAGATAAATCAATACCTGTACATAAACGTCACATTGTAAACCGATTTTGAGCGAGAACTCGGTTAACGTTTATTTTATATCTAATAAAAGAATAATAGAATATTTTATATTCTCGTGTGTTCATAAAAATAAAGTACCGCAATGAAGCTTAATTATAATACTGTAGTGAATCTGGTATAAATCAATACGCGGAGAGTCCATAGAAACCCAAACCGCCTATTTAAAAATCTAGAACACTGTTTCCATAGTATAATTCAAAACACCGAGTTGGTAAATGTAAGTAAAAAATACAAATGAAAAAACCAGAATTTTAAATCAGAGACATAATACATAATATTATATCCATCCGATTTTCGAAAGATGCAATCGTCCTATAATATATCTATATGACAACTGGTATTCCCAAATAAGTTTACAATCTCACTCTCTATTCTGACGAACATGGAATAATAATATATTTGTTGAAATGTAATTTTCTATAAGCTATTTGGATGTAACATCATTTTACCGTTTCTTCTATCCTAGATCTACGCAGAGAACAATATACGTAAAACGTATATTTTAAATTCACAACAACCAATAATAGAAATAATAAAGATTGGATGTTTTTCAACTCAAAATGTTATTATAATCAATTAAATAATGAAAAAAAATCAATACAAATTATTTTGTTATATTTGTTTGAGAGGAAAAATTAATATATGATTTAAACAGTAAATGGTTTATTTTTCCAAAATTAATTTTATTATTATATTTTATACTATTATAATAGTAAATAATAATAAACTATAAATATTAAATTGAAGAATTATTATTTTTTATACATAAAGTTATATTATATTCTTAAAGATAAGTGTGTGGTACGCTTAAAAATTAAAATTAAAAATATAGTCCGTGTACCTCTGCGCATACCTCTGCGGCTCTTCCTACAGATATTTTTTTTCCATACTTTTTTTATGCATACAGTTTTATTTAGTTACAAGTTTCCAATTAAAATATTAATTTAAACTTTCTAAACCATTAGGTAAAAAATGATTCTTAAAGCATGAAAAAAATTATATTTTAATGCCATTGAAATTGCACCTACATAGTAAATTGCTTTGCTAAAATAAATAACTTTACAGCAATTAAACATAACTAGAACTCTGTAATATTATTGTACATACAGTTGATTATTTCTAATTTTTAACATCAAACACTAATTATTTTGAAAAGTTTCTATAAGCATTTTTGAAATTTTCTTTTTGCAAATATAAATACAATCTGCAAATATTCTAACATTTTATGTTGCCTTTTTTTTGTACTTATGATTTTTTGTGAAACCATTATCAATATTTAAATATTATAATATGGCAACTTAAAATTCCATATTTTTTTTTTCAAAGCACAATCATTTTCTAAGACTATTGATTTATCGAATATTAAGGAAAAGTGTTTTATTAAAAGGGATTAAAAGTTTAGATGAGCTCTGCACGGTACGCCCTGAATTTCGAAGCATACAACCCTTGTCAATCGTCAATATAAACTAACTAGAAAACTTTAAAATAAGAACAATATAATATATGCAAAAAGATGTTCAAAACAACGAAAGTGCGATGTTCGTTATATCAAGAAAATTACCCTTCATTATTATAACGAGTTTTTCGTATTTACTTATTAAACTTTTTCAGCTAATCAACTGTACATAATTATTATTATTATGCATGAAAGAAAAACTGAGATTGATTAGGGCTACAGAGAGTGAGTGATTGTGACGACCCCACAGCGTAATTCAATTTCCTTGTCGACATAATAATTATTATATTCTGTAATTAACAAAAAACTCTTCGCTATGTTCACAATCATAAAAAAGTGTTATACAATTAAATTTGAAAATGAAAAAAGTTGTGTGACGGTCAACAACATAATTTTTAATATTACCAATCTTCCGACATCAGATACAAACTATTTATAAGTTCATAAAACGTCCTACATTTTTAAATCAACTATGATCTGGTCCTGTGCAGACAATTACAGCTCATCGATAATTTCTAAATAAGTTTAGTAAATTAGTAAAAATATTAGGATTAATTAAACAATTATTGGTATACTAACTGTTATAGTATACTAGTATTTTAATTTTTTAATTGAAACCGTATTTTATCATTGATTTTGCTTCAACTAGGAGATTCACAGAATAACATTTTTCTAATAATTATCTAAATTATATAGACAAAACTTAGTTTTATTTTTGTAAAAAATAACGATGATATTATATAAGCCGGTAAATGTATTTGCTAAAATTTGTTTTCCGGCAGTAATTATACGCGTGGTAGTAATCTAAGTACATACGTATGTATATATAGTTTCAAAACAACTACAGTTTAAAGAACACAAACCTTAACTTAAACGTTGTATTTGAATCTATATAAGTATACACAGTTATGCAAATAAGTTTAAATAATTACCAACAGCAGAAAACAAATACAGTTTTACAAAATATACATATAAGTTTCTAAAAAACATTTAAGTATATCGTATATAAACCGTAGGAGTTCGTAATTTTGTATATATACTTATATGTATTATATAATAATATATAAAAATTAAAATACATTTTTATGTGCCACTCACGATTAAAATTAAAACTGCCGACGATTTAAACTTTATATGATTGATATATATATATAACTACATATTTAGGCTAATATTATATACCTACTAAATCGATTTAGTATTTATTAATCGAATTGTTGAGCTAATTAATATTGTAATTGATATTAATTGTACTTAGGTTATTCTAATTGATTGCTTGCAGAATATGTGCCTCCGTTTATTCGCAGTTTTGCGGGAGTGCTGTAAAAGTTGCGTAAATAAATATTATATATATTTATAACCCATAGACATAATATTGTATGTATATAATAATTGAACCAGTTTTCAATACCTAGGTAAGCTGCAGGACACACCCATTTGTACGTGGAATGAGGATATTCGATAACCGCTCGTATGGGTTATCTCAGCTTTCTCCGCCTCGTGCTTCGGAAGTTGACAGAATGCGACCAAATATTAAAAATCTGGTATGTTCACTCCTAATATTATAGCGTAGACGAGATCGATCCGGCGCGTGCAGATTACATCAGACCAAAATGTAGTTCAAAAATTCGGACCTATACCTAGGTCATAACCACGCTGCTCAAACGTACGACGTATTATATAGGTATAGCCGGTTTGGTATGAAATACTATGCATTGCGTTAGATGTATAAGACCCGACAACAACGCATAAAATAACTTAAAAAACGTAAATTCTGCCTATCTGTTTATGTTCTGCGCGTGTATGTATTACGTACGAAACGATTTTACGAGATATATTTCGGCAATTCGAATTATACGAGGTCAAGTCACGATTTTATAAATAAGATATCATTACCTATTACATATTATTTAAAATTAACTAGGCATCACACAAATTATTTACTACATTTACAAATGCAAAAAAAAGATACTATACTATAATCCTTGTGAAAACTTTC